ATAGTTTTACTGGACTGAGCCGTTAGCTGTTTATTCTCAAAGTCTGGATCTTTTGGTCTGAATTTTGAAATAAAAATGATTAAAAAAAAACCTTTCAGAGAGTACCTTGGCTTGGCCCAGATGGACCGACCCTATCGGGGAGCATCACCAGGTGCACGTTCAGTTTACCGCCGTTGGTCGAAGGGGCTCTGCTGCCCACATCTGGAGCACCGTTATTGGGGAAGGACTGCTGATGAGCCCCACTGAAAGAGGGAGGCACAGGGATGTTCCTCCCTCCTACAGGACAGAAATATAAATTAAACCTGCTTGGGAGTAAGTCAAGATTTCTTATATTAAACCGTGAAAATATTTTTAGTTACAACTCTAGGACAGACAGAGGATATACACCGTGTTGCTGATGATTAGTTGGCCCAGCAGGATGAGAGAGACCAGAGGAGGCAGCTGTCTGTGGGTTAGAGGGGCCAAATCTACCGTGACACCGAGCCCCAGGGTACTGTGGACAACGGCCCCGTCCTATCACGGATAGTAAACAAAAATTAAGTCAAGTCAAATTTATTTATAAAGCACATTTAAAACAACAGCTGTCACCAAAGTGCTTAACAATAAGATCAAGGCAGTAATTAAAGAAAAAAAACCAGATGTAATTAAAAGCATCAAAAATAAAAGCACAAAAATGATGAGAAACCATGAAATAGTAAATCAAATCATATTGTGTTAAACATCAGTGAATACTGGTGTGTTTTTAGGAGAGATTTAAAAGCAGGGAGTGAAGTGGCCTGTCTAAAATTGGGGGGCAGATTGTTCCAAAGTTTAGGACCCATGACTGAAAAAGCAAGATTTTCTCTGCACTCCAACTTGGTTTTTGATAAAAACCAAAAGCAGCTGATCAGCTAATCTCAGCACCCGAGAAGGATACAATAAAAACAGAAGGGGTCCAAGAATACAGCCTTGTGGCACCCCACAGAAAAGAGGCACTGAAGCAGATAAACTATTACCAGATTACTATTACCAAAATTAAAACAGATACAACACTGATAATTCTGTTCAATAATGAATCTACCAACACACTTGGAGGTTTTCAAACAACATCTGTCAGGATTAAACACTGATGTGCTGGAGCACAAGTTTAATCGCACTTACAAAACAAGGATGTGACTAAAAACTGCACGTACCTGTGAACCATTCCTCACTCTCACTGTTGGACGTCTTCTGGCTCCTCTCCGGTTTCAAATTTCTCGAATTTCCTGACAAAGATTAAAAAAATAAAACTGTAAACTAAAATCAGAAAAAAGGATGTTAGTCGTCTTAAAAACAAGCAAGGAAATATGATTACAACATGTTTCCAGGTCGTTGAGTATATAAGCACAACTTTGCCTTTAGTGCCTGAATTTTAGCTCCAATGAATGTTATTGCAACATATTCTGACACTCTTTTTTTTGCACTTCATGGCTGTTTCTGTTTTATTCTGGCTCCTACAGCTGATTTGTTCAAGAGACTGATCTTCATGGATCTAGTTACAGATGATTAATCTCAAAATATATTCTGTGGCCTCCAGCACAGTACTCTACTGACAATTTACATCAGGGCCCTCAGTCTCACTTACAAAAAGGGGGTCAAAATTTAAACCTTTTTCAAACTAAGGGCCAATTTTAAAATCTACATTAACTCAAGTGAAGATACCCAACATCTTTTCTTGGTCACAGTTTCCTCAACAAGAGTTTGATTGGTCTCATTTGACATTCTTTGTTATGCTTTCAACACCATAATCAAAGATTACTGAAAAAATTTCAAGTGAAAAAACTATTTTACACTAAACATATTATCTTGGGGGCCGGGCAGCACGGTGGCGCAACTGGTAGAGCTGCTGCCTCTCAGCGAGCAGGTCCTTGGTTCAAACCCCGGTCCAGGGGCCTTTCTGGGTGGAGTTTACATGTTCTCTCCGTGCATGCGTGGGTTTTCTCCAGGTGCTCCGGTTTCCTCCCACAAACCAAAAACATGCATGTTAGGCTGATTGGTAACTCTAAATTGTCCCTAGGTGTGAGTGAGAGAGTGAATGGTTGTTTGTCTCATTTGTCTCTATGTGTCCCTGTGATGGACTTGCGACCCGTCCAGGGTGTACCCCGCCCCTCGCACAGTGATTGCTGGACATGGGCACCAGTGACCCCCGTGACCCAAAATGGAATAAGTGGGTAAAGATAATGGATGGATGGATCTTGGGGGCCAGATAAGATGTCAACGAGGTCCATATTTGGCCCCCGGGCCTTGAGTTTGACACATGTGACTTACATGATTAGTATTTATTGATAATAAAAACAATAGGTTTTCCTTCTGTAAAAAACTGGCTTTTGCTTTTAGTCAAATAGGCAGATATAGACAGACAACTCCTACATGTGTCCAGTTAACCACTGTTTTTGTCTGTCCAAATAGGTCTCACTTGTAAATGAGTCTTCGAGGCTCAATGTGATTTATCTGTTTAAATAAAGGTTGAATGAATGAATGAATTTAAAAACAGCAGCTGTTGTAAAGTGCTAACTTGAGGCTGTGGCTCTCTGAGACTGGGAGCTTCCCTGCTGTGGGACAGTCCCACTGGCATCTGTGGACAAAGAAGACAGTGTTTTAGAGAGCAGTGCTGCTGGACAGATACATACACTAACAAGTTCAGATGTGTCACTTAATACAAAGTCAGGGTCACTTATTCTAAAGAACATTTGTGTAAAACAGAAACTCAGACGTGTTGCTAAATCTAAGAGGAACAGCTCGGTGTCGCTGCCTGGCGGGACTCACCACAGTGGAGCCGGTAGTCATGGCAACAGGTGTGGAAGAGAACACAGTGAGGATCACACTCACACTGCAGACCTCTCCTGAACGCCTCACCACAGCGACCCTGACAGGACTGAGCTGACAACAGACAGAACCTCGTCAACACACCTTGTTCAGTTCTGTTCGCCAAGAATCCGAAACAGCGTTTAGACAAAACTGATCGTGACATGGTTCGTAAAGTGATCCTGGGCAAACAAGATGTTTGAAGGGAAGTTGTTCTCCAAAAACATACATCCTATCAAGAAACTTCAAGTTTGCATCACCGAGAGCAACAAAGTGTGAAAAAAGCTTCTAATGATGGAGCTGAGGAGGAAAAACTTTAATTAGATAACTAAACAAAGCCAAATAAGGAATTCATAAATTTTACAAATTAGGAAGAGGAAGAAGAAGTAGGTAAAATAAATAATTTTCTGAAGTAGGTTACAAAAATTTCCTAACAAAATGAAGTATTTTACACAGAAATTATGCAAATATACACAGAGATACAATATAAACACAAAACAATCGTGAAAATTAAAAAAGTCTTAATAAAAACCACCACATATTTATCTGAATGCAAAAAGACTCATTATAGAAAAGAAAAACCTGAGATTATACTCAACTAAACTAAGACTAGCAGCAGTAGGTTAAAAAAATCAACATATAAACATAATTAATGAAGGGATTCAAAATATTTTAGGCAATAAAACAATCTAAATACAGTTTGGTGGGATTATGTTTAAACAATAAAGCAGTGAACAAAAGAAGCTTATATATTTATGTCAGATATTGAGGTAAAGTTGAGAAAAAACACTTAAATTTAATAAAGCAAACAGAAGAGTTAAAACTACATATTCAGTTAAACTTGGTGATGACACCTCACGGCGACTTCAGTGTAAAACAAATCTATTTTTCTTACTCATCTGTTTTACCTGAGGTGCAGGTAGTGTGATAGTCCGGGCAGCACTCGTTGTGCTGCAGGCAGCTGAGGTCACAGGTACACCTCTGACCTCTGGTGAAAGCCTCGCCGCAACGACCCACACAGCTGCCTGACGAGAGAAAAATATCACATTATACCGGTTCTGCTCATTTACGTAACTCTGAGACGCCTCTACAACTTTCTGTTCTAAATCAAATGTAACCACACCGCTGCAGCTTCTTGAACGTTTGCTCAAATAATCTATTGCAAATTAAACATAAACAGATTCAGATTAATTGGAGTTATTTAGCAATTAAAAGTACTCAAGGAAGTCAACCATACTGGAGGTCTAGTTTTAAAGCCTACCTGGTCCTGCAGCAGCAGACACCGCAGTGAGGCCGAGCAGGAGAAGACCAAGCTTCTTCATCATCATCTTCATCTGAGACTCAACAAAAATCTGATGTGAACGATGATCGTGAAAGGAGAGGGTGAGGATGAGAAACGTCTGTAGCAGGAGAACAAGTGACCAGTTACCTCCTGTATGCGTCACCTCTTCTCTCTGTCGGTCTCCGTGTGTCTTTGACTTTTATAGAGACAGAAACGTGACGTCATCGTGTCTGAACGCCATCAGAAGGCACTCAGACGGGACGCTTTTAATTAGCATCCCAAACACACACCCACGATTAATAAAACCCCAAGAGATGTTTTTAAACTTCCCACGCTATCAATAAACTGCTTCCTACACGCAGGAACTACATCTGCACTGAGTGGAACTGATTATTAGTCTTTAAATAAAAACATCAATTTCTGAAGCACAATATTTTTAATCACAGGTGAATGAACACAGATATAGTTTGAAATGCATTCAGCTTTTTAAAACCTTTGAGACCTGTAGTTCTGTGGCTCCACTCCGACCTGTTGCCCTTTTGGCCACAGTTTTTACCAGCCAGCTTTCAGGAACGAGGCGCTGCAGCCAAATCTGACATCATGCGGTTTGTACAGTTTTTGTGGTGAAGTTTCAATTGTTCAGCTCCATTCCTGGGCCATAAAAACGTCTCCATGCGGGTGACTTTCACAAGGAGGAGATAAACAGACCCAGTCGAAAGGGGTCATCGCTGGTGAGGTGGGGGCGGACTGCTTCACTTTGGATTCATTTCTGTCCTCTCAACGTTACCACCACAAAAATGAGCAAAGCTTTAAAATAATATTCTGGTACAGCATCAAAGTAGCTAATAAAACCACTGTGAAGACTGGAGGTTTTAATCATAGGGATTATACACAGCAGCCTCGCTGCACCATATAACTGACCTGTTAGTGTATAATGAACACTTGATTGCTGTTTAACTTTACACGTCATATGGTCTTTGGAGTTCTTGGAGCATTGACTCCCTGTCAAATTCAGAATAGAATTCAAAATCTTACTTCTAACATACAAAGCTCGCAACAACCTAGATCCATCTTATATTCGAGATCTTATTGTTCCATATTTTCCTAACAGAGCACTTGGCTCTCAGGTTGCAGGTTTACTTACGGTTCCTAGAGTTCCCAAAAGCAGAATGAGAGGCAGATCTTTCAGCTATCAGGCTCCTCTCTTGTGGAACCAACTTCCAGTTTCTGTCCGTGAGGCTGACACATTGTTTATTTTAAGATTAGGCTTAAGATTTTCCATAATGATAAATCCTATAGTTAGGGTTGGCTTACTTTCCTGAGCTATCCCTAATGCTGCTATAGGCTAGGTTGTTTTCACTGTTTAGACTACTGGAGGACAAATTGACCACATTTCTCAAATGGTTACAAATGAATAGTTTGTATTTGTAATTTTTTCTATTTTAACATGTTTTTTGTGTGTGTGTGTCTTTCCTCCTGGTAGTGACCTTCTTGCCTCCATTCTGGACCTGCCATTGTGTATCTGTTCTTCTCAAACCCAGTCAGTTGAAGCAGATGGACACTTGTCCTGAGCCTGGTTCTGTTAAAGGTTTCTTTCTGTTAAAAGGGAGTTTTTCCTTTCCACTGTTGCCATGTCAGAGTCAGAGTCAGAGTTTCTTTATTGTCATTCGCACCTCATGTGGTACATGTGGTGGAGCGAAATTATGTACACAAGGTCCCAGTTACATCCAACAATAAAATGTATAAGAAAAACAGTAATAACATCCAAGATATGAACCAAGAAAAACATCAACCAAATATACACTAAGCACTCATAACATAAAACATTGAACATCAGCACAAACATGAACATGAGTCTGTGAGCAGATGTGCACGAATGAACACATCAACATTAAAACAGATCAGCAGCAACATGAAACAGATCAGCAGCAACATGATATGGTTTTTCACAGTGATTATTCTAGTTAGAGATTCATGAGTCTAACAGCCTCAGGGTAGAAGCTGTTCCTCAGTCTAGTGGTTCTACACTTAATGCTCCTCAACCTCCTTCCTGAGAGGAGTGGGGCAAAAAGTGTGTGTGCTGGGTGGGTGGGGTCCTTCATGATGCAGGTGACCCTCTTCCTGCATCTGGAGGTGTAGATGTCTGTGATGGTGGGGAGACTGACTCCAACAGATTTCTGTGCAGCCTTCAGCCATGTGCTTGCTCAGGATAAGAGACTGCGACTGATTAGTGAAGATTCAACCCAGTCTGGTGGCTTCTTTAGATAACTTTTACAAACTGACTCTTTATGTATGTGAATGTTTCTGTTCAGTGACCTGAGACGACTTCTGTTGTGACTTAGAGCTACATAAATAAACTGAATGAATTGAATTGAATTGGTGGTGCAGCTGGTAGAGCTGCAGCCTAAGCAGGTCACCCCGGTTCAAATCCCGGCAGGGGGCCTTTCTGGGTGGAGTTTGCATGTTCTCTCCGTGCATGTGTATGTGGGTTTTCTTCAGGTGCTTCAGTTTCCTACCACAGACCAAAAACATGCATGTTAGACTGATTGGTAACTCTAAATTGTCCCTAGGTGTGAGTGAGAGAGAGTGAATGGTTGTCTTGTTTGTCTCTATGTGTCCCTGTGATGGACTGGAGACCTGTCCAGGGTGTCCCTCGTCTCTCGCACAGTGATGGCTGGACATGGCACTAGTGACCCCCACAATCCAATAAAAGGAAGAAGCGAGTAAAGATAATGGATGAATGGATGGATGGATGAATGGATGGATGGATGGATGGATGGATGGATGGATGGATGGATGGATGGATGGATGGATGGATTGAATTAAAACATGTGAGTTATAGCTTGGCATTTCTTCATACAGCATTTTCCTCACAATGTTCTAAACACTTATACCAACAACATAAACTGATTTCTCTAAGAAAAAACGGACAATTTGAACCAACAAACTTCTTAGTTTTAACTTAAAATAACGAGAAAACCCACGCAACCTTTAACATTTGCTGCTTTGTGTGTAGACACTGCGCTGTCCTGATAAGATACCAGATGTTGTGGCTATTGTACAGTCAGCCATAACATTGACCCAATAAAGGCCTACGATGCCTTGAATAAAATTCTCAGAATACTGTACATGTTGTGAATGACTCAGATACTTCTGCACCAAATTTTAGCACGGTATCTGTAAAACTGTCTGAAATAACCGAAGGCTTCAACCGCCTGGGAGGTTGTCTGTCAAAGGCCCCAGCCCTGGTAGTGTGCTGAAACGTCTTGGGCCAAGACACTGAATTCCCTCACACTATGCTTACTGGTGTATGAATGGGAATATAAAATGCTCCGTGTAGTGAGTACACATGAGTAGAAAGCACTGGAGGAGTGTTTGTGTAAATTGGAGAATTAACATTTTAAAGAACTTTTCAGAACCTAGTTGTGCTATATCCATAAGTTTCATTGTAATCAGCCCACTGGTTCAGAACATATTTTGCTAACAGACAGAGTTGACATCAAATAGTTAATGAATAAAAATTTAAACTAAGATCTCGTGCTGACAGTCAGTGTTCAGAACATGCACTGGAAATCAGTCTCAGCTACTACCACAGCAAACGTTAGGTCAGTGTGTGTAAATCTGAATGAGTTCTGGTCATTTTGAAGCTCAGTGGCTGTGGCAGCCATCTGGGTTGATTTCTGCCCGTCCGTCTGATCGTATATCCAGGTGCTTTGTTGGTTTGATGCGTTTACTTTCAGTACAGGATGACCATAAACCAATGCAAAACTTCTTGAACAGTGAATGACAGCGATGAGTAAAAAGATGTGGAACAAAGGTCGTGAGCTGAGCTTCTCAGCAGACATCACTCGCCATCACAATTATATAAACTCGGCACTTGATGGCTTAAAAATAACGTGTTGCATATCTTACAGGCCATCTGCTAAAACTGTCTTCTTGAGTAGCTGCACCCAGTAAACACACACCTGCCGGAGCGAGTTTTTATTTATACTTCATTTCTAACAGTCAATTGTGTTTGTTCTGCAGCCCTCTAATGAGATGGGAGTAGTCCCAGCGGGGTATTGAACTGGTCAGACGCTTAGATTAAAGAAGCTCTTTAAACTTTATTGGAACCTCACACTGTGACCAGACTGTGGGCCGAGCGTTGGCAGCCAGTTCAGAGCACCACACACATGTCGGAGAACGCCAGACAGACATGATGTGTTTAACCAAACCAAAGACATGACATGAAGAAAAAGAAGAATTCTTTCAAGAAGCTTTTTTAATTACACTTTAATGCAGCCTACAGAGTCAGACTGCTCCCTGCACAAATGAGGATTTCTTTTTGTAGCTGCCACCAGAATAAACAAGTAGATCCTCGTCTACTTATTCAGTTTTATGGTCAGTGGTCAATGATCTGTGGTGGACCGCAGGCTCACATTACCTCATATTTTTGTTAAATTCATCTATTTCCTCACTTGTTTTCACTCTTTATTTTATACCTTTAAAGTCATTTTATGGTAACTTTTATGTTTGGTGCAGTCAGAATGACATCCTTTTGTTTACACTGATTCAGTTTTAAATTAAACATATTGTGATATCTGGCATTGCAAAGTTCTCATTTTGAAGCATTTACTCTCTGATATATTTACATTTTTCTCTTGCCCAGTTTTTAAGTATACTTTCTTTGTTTCATACTTTGCTAAACAGAAATGTGATTTCCCTTTATTGAATAAATGAAGATTTAAAAACCTTACCATCATAATTCCAGTTATCTCAATATTGCTACCTGTGCAGTAACCAGGCACACTGTTAATTATGTGCAATATATATCATGTGCGTTTAAGCTAATATTACTACCTTGAAATACTTATTCATACAAATTCATCCTACTGTTATATTCTACCATGTTGTTGTTTACTATATTTCTTTTGGACCTTGCAAATATATATATATATATATATATATTTTTTTTTTTTTTTTTTTTCAATTTTGGCACTTTATTTTGTACCTTTATTGCATGCTTTAGTATTTTTTGTTTTCTTTAGCGAGTCAAATGGGTTCTTC